ACCTTAGAATACAGGTTCTGTAATTGCTTGGCTGTTTTTGTTTTCCTACTCGTGTTGATTGATTGGATGCATCTTTTCCCTTTATTGTTGATGTCAATAGGGGTAATCATATCATACGTAACTTATTCTTTTAACAACTTGTTAAAAATTGTCATTTTCTTTATCGTTGAACTATTAAAAAAACTGACTAGCAAGTCTATTCCTTTTTTTAGTATTGTAATTTCTATATATTTCGCTTTTTTAAAATGAACAAAGTGGGTGAAAAAGTAGTTTTTGAAGTATAACCCCATTTTCCTTGAAATGTAAGATAGTACAAAATCAGTAGCATGACATGAAATGTATACTTAGTTGCTAAATTTGTTCAAAATGAAACAGAAGATTGACATGTAAAGTAATAACCAAAGATCCTCAAGATATACAGCCACAGAAATCCACAAAAGAGTGACCAAAGAACAATTGAAAATTTGCAAACAGTATTTCGATGTCAAAATTCAGAGTGAAATTGGAGACCAACACAGCTACCGATCTCCACAGAAGCAACAACATAGACATGATAACCAATTGAATCTTCTCCTCACTGTGTCATTTTGTGAGTCGGTATCAGCAGGAGAATTTCGACCTTCTACTCTCACAGCTTCATTTGCAGATAACTCAGGCTCATTATTTCTATTGGCATTTTCCATCGGTAGAAAACTCTGTACAGGTGAGTGCAGTATGATACCGCCGCTGTCTGTCATCTCAGCAAATATTTCTATAACATCTATTGTCCCTAATCAAATTGGATGAAGATAATTGTTATGATGCATGTGTGTTGATAAAACAAAAAACAAAAAGGGTGCATGTCTGTATTCTGCTATAAAATAATGAATGTGTATACCTGAATTAGAGCCCTGGTTTCCGTCCAAACTTCCACCATTGATACCATTATCGTTACAAGTGTGAGTTACAGATGAAAGAGGTAATACATCACTATTTCCAAGCAAATTCTCAAGCGAAGCAGTTTTTTCAACGAGAACATATCCTTCTTCTATTTCCTGTGACGTGTTGTCATCACTAGACGTAGGAAACTGTGTAGACTCTACTTGAACATCATTTATAGATTTATGCAGTGTCTCCACGTGAGAGACTGGCTTTTCTGCCTGCAACTCCAGCATGTTTCCTTCCCAAATCCTTTCTCCTTGCAAAATACTAGGATCTTGCATTTGGTCATCGTCTGTTACTTTTACATCTGCTTTAAAACATGTTACAAGAACTGGATAGAATAGATAAGAACAAATCTTAAGCTGAAAGAAAACATAAACACGTACCAGTGGATTTAAAGAATGATCCAAAACTTATTTTTTAATTTCTCTAGGATATAATGCACACTTGTTTTTCAATAGGAGCATTCTTGACAATTACAAATAAAGTTCTGGAGTATAAATCCACTGATATGTGTTTATGTTTTATTAAAAAGTAGGAGATTTGTTACCTTTTGAGTGGGGATCATTATCAGAAAGGTGTTCCTTATCTGAAGGGTTGAAACCTTCAACGGCTCCACAGCTGCCGTTGTGACATGCATGAACTCCATGATCATCACCCTTGAGACCTGTTTCCAAGAAACCCAAGAAAGAGAGAGACTTTTCAACCAAAAAGAAACAAGAAAGTCTAGAAACCAACAAAACTGGTTAAAAGAATGACTGTACATGCATAAAAGGAAAGAGATATTCGTTTAAACTTTAAAGAAAAAGCACCTGGAGTGCGTGTGTGAGTTCGTCCCTGATCTTGGTTATTCATCTCGAGTAGGAAGACGATGAGCCAGAGAAGAAGAAAAATATTAACAACAAATAACAGATATACCATTTTTTTACAGAAGAACTAACCAATATATAAAGATTATGAAAAATGAAATCACCATTTCTCATTCCACTCAACAGTTATTCTGTTCTCTTAGCAACTGTCACACCACACCTCTAACGACTTTTCTGCTTTTAGCAGTTTTACAGTTGCAAAATCCTGATGACTACTGTCTCTACATTATAGAGTAAATAAAATATAATCATTCCATCTTGTTGTTTTAAATTTTTTAAATATATCTCTATAAAATAGTAGTTTTCACATTTTTTTTTGGAAAATAATACTTTGACACTCCTAAAAAATTCACTCTCACTTGACAATACTGTTTAATAATATAATTATATATATTAAAAAATTAATTAAAAATAAAATAAATAGATAATTGAAAATATTATTATTTTATATTGTAATATGAATGTTTTGTTGCCTTTAGTGAAATCAACGTATTACCCCCTCTCCAGTTAATTGTGTTTGAGTCTTAGAGCATCCCGAACCCCTTTTAAGTTACAAATAGCAAGTTATAAATCATTTGAGATAAATGTTACAAACAACATTGAATTACAGAAAAATTTAAATTTAAATGGACTCATTCATCAGAGTAAATAATCTTAAAAAGGAAAAACACTTTTATTTGAAATTAAAGGAAAATGAGTTGTGTGACTCTTTGTAAGCTTATAAATATCACAATACAAGTTTGAAGTGTCAAGTTGATCAAATATATTGTTAATCTTCGTCTTTTATTTTTTATTCTACTTTTTTTACAAAAATGTTCACTTATTATGGATAGTTATTTTAGTTTAAAAGATAATTAAATTAAAAAACAATCAAATTGGAAAAAAATATTTTAATTTAATTTAAAAAAAAATTATTATTTAAAAAATAAAATAAGAAAAAAATGGGTATACTAAATAGTCTTTGTAATCTAATGGTATAAAATCATCCCGAATCATATACAAAACTAAACCGTGTTCACTAATAAAAAAATCGCGTACAACGTCGAATATTTTGGGCTTTTAACGACAAATTCGTGAACGAATTTATATTAGAAGCATTAAATTAACGTTGAATTTTGTCGGACATTAATCAATTTTTTTAATTAATTGTGATCTTTTTTACATCTTTACGAGACTTGAAATTCAGAAAAATAACAAATTTCAATTTTTTGATATTTTATAAAGCAAAAGCAATAAACTATACTAACAAAAACAGAAACTAACCTTCAAAAGGTAGGTTCATCGGAATAAAGTGTCGTCACCAGTGACAAAGAAAGCAGAATGCACTTATGAAGGACAATAGTACGAAAATAATCGGTCAAAACAAACTAAAAACATACATAAAGTAATTAATTAATGAAAGAAATAATACATCTGATAGTCGTCAAACTTCATTCGAGAAAAGTTTGAAAAGAGGATAGGGTCTCACGCGCTAAGATAAAGTGAATGAATTTTTAATCTCTCGCTAAAATTTTTATAGAATTCACTAACACTTGACCATTCAACATTTTATTTCCTTTTATGTCGAATTACAATTATAAACTAGGTTTAATAATTGCATTTATTTTAAATCATTTTTAACGTTGACTATTGAGTGATTAAATGTTGAACGCATGACGTTACACGCTATTTTTGTACTAATGATTATATATATATATATATATATATAATATTCTTTATTTACATAAAATGAAATGTGTCCATATCTGTGATGGAATAATTTAATTTATAAAATTTTACATCAAATGTATAATTAGCAAACATTATTTAATATTCAATTGTATGTATGAAAATATTAAAGAAATAAATGAAGAATAAGGTATTATTAATAAAAGCATAATATTGCCATGTCGGAATTGTATTTTCAATAAATAACCTTAACATTTAATTGATATTGCATAAACAATACCAAAACAATTCAACCTGCAGTTATAATTTGATTCGTTCTATTTTTTTTATACCAAAATAAACAATAATGTAATCTAGCTAATTTTTCATACAATAACAACATATGGGATTCTCTGAAATAATCAAAGTAATTTAATAATTAGCTTTTTCTAGTTTTATAAACCTAAAAGCATATTGTATTATGAGAATAAGTTTTTGTTATTTTTGATTTTTGGATAGTTTGATCTAATATAAGATAAATTCCTCTAGAATCATATGTTTGAAATAATTTGCCTGGCTTACACATTTTTTTTTAAAACATTCATAACANCTGCAATCGTCCATTACTCTTCTCTTTCAGTTGAACTTGATTGGAACGCGCAATGGTTACTTTTAAAAGCTATTTGACTTATAAATGAACAGATAACCCTTTTCAAAGTCCTCCAGCTTTCGTTAGCATTGTTTTTTCCATACAACTAGAAGCTACATGCTGGCATATATACGGTGGTGGCTTGAGATATATCATTCTGGATCAAATGGGGGAAAAATCAGAAATTGAATCCAAACGAAAGCCAAACAGGGTTTGGGCTTTTCTGGGACTTGGACAATAAACCACCGATGCCAATCCCACCTTTTGATGTTGCCAATAAGCGATGAATAGCTGCATTTCCTTTGGGATTGTTCGTTACATGGTGGCTTATGCAAATAGCCACACTTTTAGTCATGTTCCTCAATCTGTACGGGAGAAAAGGAAAGAGAGGGAACTGTTGTATCGTTTAGAGAACAAGGGTGTCATCAAGCCAAATGAACCTTATCGTTGTCGGGTTTGTGGGAGAAAGTTTCATACTAATGACAAGCTTGTCAACCATTTCAAGCAACTGCATGAGCGTGAGCACGGTAAAAGGATAAACCAGATTGAGTCTGCTAGAGGGAACAGGAGGGTGAAGTTGGTGGCTAAGTATTCTATGGAAAATGGAAAAGTATAAGAAGGCTGCAAGTGCTATTCTCACACCCAAAAGTGGGCTTGGTGTTGGCACCATGACGCTCAAACGTGCTGGGTTTTCCGCGTGTCAAACTGTGTTGGATAAGCCGCAGGCTGCAGATCGAGCATTGCAAGCCACCATTGTGGATGTCATGAGGATCCATAGGGCGGGTTATGGTGTGTGGTTCTTTCTGTGTCTGATGATTCTGATTTTGTTGATGGGGATAAAGGAGGCAAGGCTCGATGTCTGAAGACGGTTGTGTCGTTAGGGGAATATTGATGATGGTGTCCTTGAAGAGGCCTGCGATACTGCACTGCTTTCTTCGTGGAGGAAATTCTGATGGGGAAGGCTAAAAAACAGGCTGCTGCGGTTGTGAAAAACTGGAATGACTCGTATGATTTTGAAGTTTAGAGTGGACATATAACCCTGGATGCAGATAAAAATAAACTGGATGTGGATGTGGATGATATTGTAGCTGAAACTCTGAAGATGATAATATTGAAGATACTCTGATAAGTTTACGATGTCTATAAGGATGACAGAGGTTCTTGGTGGGAATTAGATTCTGACAATGATGTCTCAGAGGGACAGTCGGGCAAATCATCCGATTTATCTGTGCATAAGTGAACACTTGACCTTCTACTTGACCGAGTTTGGTCATTGAATATGTGAGATAACACTATGTTGGAAAGTTATGACGGTTGTGGGGTAACTTTGAAAGGAAAGTAGTATCTATTTATTAGTTGTCTCGTTGCTTCATAGTCTTTATCAGCTGGCATGGTATGATTAGTTCTGGTTCCTTGTTATGGATGTCTATTTGATATGTTTCTTTGGTGTTCTACTGAATAACAGCTATTTGCAGTTAAAATCAGGAAAAAGGATTTTTTATTGTATGTAACATTAAAATATTGTGGCCTGGTGCACCCATTTTTAAAATTATTAAATTTGCAATATATTATTTTTCATTTATGTGGGGGGATGTTCGTGATAACATCGAGGATCGAAGAATTAATGTTGATGACGTTTAGGAGATTAGTCATCTTAATGTTAATAACTATATGAATAGGGTTGCATATTTGTTATTATGTGGTGTTTAATTGCTATTCATACATTGTATTGTTATGGTTGCTTTGAACGGTAATTTACTCCATATTTGTTTGTTGTTGTTTGTGATGTGATTTGTGATCATCGTATCATGTTTATAATACAATAGAAGATGTTGCAGATGTTCGAGAGAGACGCGAGAGGACAGAAAAGACGTGGAATTGTTAAAGTTTTTTATGGTTACAACTTTTACACCAATGTAATTGGGTTACATTATTTCGTTGTTATTTTTTATTATTTTATTAATTTCGTGACTATGTAAATGGGGACAGAATGATTTTTGGAATTGTTTGACTTTGTTTAGTTCTGCTTGTTTGAATCTGAAGGTTGTTGAGTGAAACGCTACTACAAGGTAGAGTTTGTAAAAAAAAATTCCGGCTTTAGTTACAAGACTGGACACCGGGCTGAAAGTGTTGGGGTGTTACATGCTGGTAACAAGTTGTGGTGGAAAGTGTTGTTTGGGGCTGGTAGGGAGTGACTGGCGGTTTAGTTTGTGAGTGTCTATAACTCTGGTTGTTTCTACAGTGTTTCATGATGTGCAATACTTTACGGAAATGCTTCACATCGGACTTCCCTCGCATTGTTGTCGTTCTATGAACCGACAGGAATTGTACCTCAGGCACTGCACTACTTGGTGATGTGCTTGTTGCTGCGCTAATGTGTCTATTGTTCATTGAAGTGGATATTCTATTATGAATGTGTTGGACCGGTTTCGAGCTTCCTCGAGTTCGTTTGAGGTTTGTTTACGTGTGCATGGGTGCCTAGGTTCTGACCATATGATAATTTCAACTCTTAGCTGAAATGGTATGTCTTATGTGTTTTCTATCACATCTACAATAAGCGATGATTGTTGTGAGTATTTTGATGTTCGATGCTTCATAGTATGTGTGAATACCCCTGCGAAGTGAAGCGCTGGTACAAACTTGAGATTATTTCTCTGCTTTCTGTAGTGCTGTGGCTGTATTACGGTTCATTAATTAGGTGAATTGACATGTCGAAGTGTTAAAACCTTAGTTTCTTATCCACTAGACATACCTACATCTCGAAAATTTTGCTAGTCGCACGTGAAAGTCGCTTCCTACCGTATGCATTAAAAAACACGACTGAAATCCCGCGACGATCTTATTGCAATGGAAACTGAGAAACTTGTGTCTAGTGGTTTAACGGTTTCGATTCTTGTTGTTGGAAGGGGATGCTACTAGTTCTTACAATTCTGCGAAAACCCTAGAATACAGGTTCTGTAATCTGTGCTGCTGTTTTTGTTTTCCTACTCGTGTTGATTGATTGGATGCATCTTTTCCCTTTATTGTTGATGTCAATAGGGGTAATCATATCATACGTAACATTCTTCTTTAACAACTTGTTAAAAATTGTCATTTTCTTTATCGTTGAACTATTAAAAAACTGACTAGCAAGTCTATTCCTTTTTTTAGTATTGTAATTTCTATATATTTCGCTTTTTTAATGAACAAAGTGGGTGAAAAAGTAGTTTTTGAAGTATAACCCCATTTTCCTTGAAATGTAGATAGTACAAAATCAGTAGCATGACATGAAGGTATACTTAGTTGCAATTTGTTCAAAATGAAACAGAAGATTGACATGTAAGTAATAACCAAAGATCCTCAGATATACAGCCACAGAAATCCCCAAAAGAGGTGACCAAAGAACAATGGAAAATTTGCAAACAGTATGTCGATGTCAAAATTCAGAGTGAAATTGGAGACCAACACAGCTACCGATCTCCACAGAAGCAACAACATAGACATGATAACCAATTGAATCTTCTCCTCACTGTGTCATTTTGTGAGTCGGTATCAGCAGGAGAATTTCGACCTTCTACTCTCACAGCTTCATTTGCAGATAACTCAGGCTCATTATTTCTATTGGCATTTTCCATCGGTAGAAAACTCTGTACAGGTGAGTGCAGTATGATACCGCCGCTGTCTGTCATCTCAGCAAATATTTCTATAACATCTATTGTCCCTAATCAAATTGGATGAAGATAATTGTTATGATGCATGTGTGTTGCTGATAAACCAAAAAACAAAAAGGGTGCATGTCTGTATTCTGCTATAAAATAATGAATGTGTATACCTGAATTAGAGCCCTGGTTTCCGTCCAAACTTCACCATTGATACCATTATCGTTACAAGTGTGAGTTACAGATGAAAGAGGTAATACATCACTATTTCCAAGCAAATTCTCAAGCGAAGCAGTTTTTTCAACGAGAACATATCCTTCTTCTATTTCCTGTGACGTGTTGTCATCACTAGACGTAGGAAACTGTGTAGACTCTACTTGAACATCATTTATAGATTTATGCAGTGTCTCCACGTGAGAGACTGGCTTTTCTGCCTGCAACTCCAGCATGTTTCCTTCCCAAATCCTTTCTCCTTGCAAAATACTAGGATCTTGCATTTGGTCATCGTCTGTTACTTTTACATCTGCTTTAAAACATGTTACAAGAACTGGATAGAATAGATAAGAACAAATCTTAAGCTGAAAGAAAACATAAACACGTACCAGTGGATTTAAAGAATGATCCAAAACTTATTTTTTAATTTCTCTAGGATATAATGCACACTTGTTTTTCAATAGGAGCATTCTTGACAATTACAAATAAAGTTCTGGAGTATAAATCCACTGATATGTGTTTATGTTTTATTAAAAAGTAGGAGATTTGTTACCTTTTGAGTGGGGATCATTATCAGAAAGGTGTTCCTTATCTGAAGGGTTGAAACCTTCAACGGCTCCACAGCTGCCGTTGTGACATGCATGAACTCCATGATCATCACCCTTGAGACCTGTTTCCAAGAAACCCAAGAAAGAGAGAGACTTTTCAACCAAAAAGAAACAAGAAAGTCTAGAAACCAACAAAACTGGTTAAAAGAATGACTGTACATGCATAAAAGGAAAGAGATACCGTTTAAACTTTAAAGAAAAAGCACCTGGAGTGCGTGTGTGAGTTCGTCCCGTATCTTGGTTATCCATCTCGAGTAGGAAGACGATGAGCCGAGAGAGAAGAAAATATTAACAACAATAACAGATATACCATTTTTTTACAGAAGAACTAACCAATATATAAAGATTAGTGAAAATGAAATCACCATTTCTCATTCCACTCAACAGTTATTCTTGTCTCTTAGCAACGGTCACACCACACCTCTAACGACTTTTCTGCTTTTAGCAGGTTTTACAGTTTGCAAAATCCTGATGACTACTGTCTCTACAGTATAGAGTAATAAAATATAATCATTCCACTCGTGTTGTTTTAAATTTTTATAAATATATCTCTATAAATACGTAGTAGTTTTCACATTTTTTTATGGAAATAATACTTTGACACTCCTAAAAAATTCACTCTCACTTGACAATACCGTTTAATAATATAATAATATATATTAAAATTAATTAAAAAAAAATAAATAGATAATTGAAAATATTATTATTTTATATTGTAATATGAATGTTTTGTTGCCTTTAGTGAAATCAACGTATTAACCCCTCTCCAGTTAATTGTGTTTAGTCTTGAGCATCCGCTCCCGAACCCCTTTTAAGTTCAAATAGCAAGTTATAAACTCATTTGAGTTAAATGTTACAACAACATTGATTACAGAAAATTTAAATTTAAATGGACTCATTCATCAGAGTAAATAATCTTAAAAAGGAAAAACACTTTTATTTGAAATTAAAGGAAAATGAGTTGTGTGACTCTTTGTAAGCTTATAATATCCACAATACAAGTTTGAAGTGTCAAGTTGATCAAATATATTGTTAATCTTCGTCTTTTATTTTTTATTCTACTTTTTTTACAAAAATGTTCACTTATTATGGATAGTTATTTTAGTTTAAAAGATAATTAAATTAAAAAACAATCAAATTGGAAAAAAATATTTTAATTTAATTTAAAAAAAAATTATTATTTAAAAAATAAAATAAGAAAAAAATGGGTATACTAAATAGTCTTTGTAATCTAATGGTATAAAATCATCCCGAATCATATACAAAACTAAACCGTGTTCACTAATAAAAAAATCGCGTACAACGTCGAATATTTTGGGCTTTTAACGACAAATTCGTGAACGAATTTATATTAGAAGCATTAAATTAAGTTTATGCTTCCTTTGTCCCAGTTTGGTTGAATTGTGTCAAATCATCCTCATTTTTAAAAGTTTCATTTGTCCTCACGTGGTATAAAAGGTGCAATTAAATCCAACTAGAAAATTTGTGTCAAAGTATCATTTTTCCTATATATCTCGTGTCTTCTTTCAATCGTCACTTCTCTGGAGCATGAAAAGCCTTAAATCTGATAAGTAAAATGATATATTACTGATTGTTGAACAGGAAGCACCGAGATATAGGAAAATGACTACTTTGACACAAATTTTTTTAGTTTGATCAATTGACACTTTTTACACACACGTGAGACGACAATGAAACTTTTACACCACGTGAGGACGACAATGAACTTTTTTAAAATGAGGATGAATTTGACACAATTCAACCAAACTGCGGGACAAGGAAGCATTATACCTTAAATTAACGTTGAATTTGTCGGACATT